TGACTCCTAAAACCTTCAAAACTAAACTCTAATATAACATAGTTAACCCAAACATAAATGANATAATGAATAAATAATTTTAAAAAGTGGTATTTTTGTAAGAATTGTAAAAATGTGGTATTTTTGTAAGAATTGTAAAAATGTGGCATTTTTGTAAAATGGCACTTGAAAAATGACATTTTTTTAAATTTCTTTTGATACAATGTTATATGTAAAGAAATCATTAAAAAAAAATTGTATATGAATTGCCATAAATTTGTAGGAGNTATATATTATGTAAGTTAAAAATGTAAAGTAAAGTTAAGAAATATGTTTGCTCTTCTTTTTTCTTGCATTAAACACATTCGTAAAAAGAAATTGTTGATCCGACAAGTTGTAGTACGCTTGGCGCCTCTACCAAAACATATGCATCATCTCAACAGAGAGTTTGGAACTTATCTCTATATTTATTTCATTAGAATTTTGAATCGTAAAAAGATAATAATTATTGCTTGATTGTATTTTAATCGTAAAAAGGGATTGTCCACGCGTTGCGTGGGTTTAAAAATTAAGATGGTAAATATGCAATAATTTTTAGTGTATTGATCATTTGTATATTTAATATGATATGATTTTGGTGTTTATAGTAAATAATTATCTAAGTTAGAANACTANCAATTTGTAGCAAATTATTGTACATATACAATGTTATATGAAAAGGACCGTTACAGCATATGAAAAACATATTATTTGGCACAAATCTTTAACTTATATGTCTTTATCAGTATTCACTACAATTTTCTAAAAAAATGATTGCTCATCTTTTTTGCATCAAATACGTTTATAAAAATTGATTGATCAGACAAGTTATACTATGTTTTGCTTCTACCGAGACATCTGCATCATCTCAATAAAGGTGTTAGAATGCATATTTTTGTTGATTTCATTAGAACCTTGAATAAGAAGAAGAGAATAATTGATGAATGATTGTATTTGTGTCTCACTTTATTTGTCGATTTACTGTGATTTTTATCTTTGATATCTTTTTCTTGGTGATGTGATTCTATTTTTCTGGATTTACAATTTGTGATGGAGTAATGTTTTATTTTGGAGTCTTGATTAGGAGCGTTACTTTGTCTAACACAAATTATTTTAATTGCATTAGAAGGTAATAGGTACATTGGTTTTGAAAGCTATGAAAGCTATGAAAGCATTTAAAACGTTAAAAGTCAAAAAATTTCCAATGAGACGTTAGTGTTTTAACATACTTAAAAGTTCTAAAATCATTCTTTAGATG